AATTTGATATGATGAACTTTTTGAGAAGAGGTTATTTGTGATTTATTAATATATTATAAGTTCTAATATATTAATATGAAATCATATTATTTAATTAGTATTGATCAAGAATTAATTTGGAATTAATTTAGTGATCAAAAGAGACTAATTAAATTAATGGGGACTAATTGTGTAAATTAGTTATATATATTCTTTGGGCTTATGATACATGATGGACTAATTTTATGAAAGAATCCATAAAGAGTTAGTCCATATGGATCATGGATCATAGATCATGGATAATAAGCCCAAGGGTGTGGATTAGGGTTTAACCATGACTCTTAGAATCCTACAATATATATATATATATATATATATATATATATATATATATATATATATATGTCACCCTATCGCTAAAATCGACTACTACATATGTTCTAAGAGTTCATTTGAGCCGTTTTTATGCAAGGATATTCTCTCTCAAAAGTCTTCCATTTGTTCATGGTGTTTGTGAACCATTTGAGGCATCACATTTGAGGTGCTAAGTTCTTAAAGGCCAAAACTACAAGCTACAACAAATAGGTAATCCTATAACTCAATTCTATGTCGTTTATGTCAATTGTATGTTAGTTGTAGGCTTCATGCTTTGGAAACAATATTGCATGTATAATTAGAGAAAACATAGATCCAAAGCATTTAGGGTTGTGTGTGCACCATAGGATGTTGTAGTATACTAAAACCCAACAATTATAACAACCATCAGGGAGACAGTTCAACGAGATTCCCTTTTTGATCCACTTATCATTGCGAGTTCTGATATTGTGCGCGCGAACGGAGTCCTTTTCAAAAGTGTGCTCGCTGACTTTGTGAGAGGCATCTCCATATTGATAATAGAATTTGATTCCAAAATTCTTTCCGTAAACATTAGATTTGATTTCTTTTAAACTACTGAATTTAATTTGAGAGTTCTGGGACAAGGGATGTCATTGATGGTATGCTTATATACTACTTTTTCATAAGGCTCATGATGCATTGAAGAGTCATTAGAATTGGATGACTTTGATTGATCTTCAGGTTCAAAATTGCTTACTGAGCACCGAGGAAACATGCTAAGAATATCGTTTACAGAATGAACTTCCATTTCATATAGGAAACTTTAGCAAAATCTTAGTGGAGGGAAGAACATACTCACGATGAAAAGGTTGGTGAGAAGGATCAAGAGCAGATAATTTAGAAATACATTTGGTAATGCCATTATAATCAGTAGAGCATTGAGTATCAATTAAAGATTGATTTATAAAATGAGAACTCACAAATCTACTCTTAAAGTCTTCCTTTAAGCAGTCAACTTCATAAAAGGTTTGTTTAGTCTCAACAACTTTGGTTAAAGAAAATATCACCTTCTATATCACCTCCAAGAATTTTCTTACACTGATTTGGAATCTGAGCATTAATGATTCTTGTGACATTAAAGTGAGAAGATTCCCAGTTTTTCAAAATAAGTTGAGTGCGATTAGCATGATCAACAACTTTTTCTTTTTAGTGTAAAGAAAATTATTGGTCAGCGATATACAAGTGTTCTCCTTTTTTAGAGCAGAAAGAGATTTTTCAAGAAAAGAGTTTTTTTCTTTGAGTTTCTTTAACTTAATACTGAGAGATGATTTTTCTTTATTTGAGACCAATAAATTTAAACATAAGAGATCAATTGAGTAATCATTTTCAATATTATCAACAGGGGAGAGATTAACAAGATTCTTTACCCGATACACTGAGGTATCGTCTCATTCTGACTTGAGGTCCTTTGCAATGTGAGGAGGATCAGCATCAAGGATCTAAACGTTGTCATGATTAGTGTTAGTGTGTGGTTCAACAATCTGAGCCATGAGACACTTACATTTATCGCCTGAGGAGTTTTCCTTTTCAAATGTAGATGATAGAGTGATCATCATCTCTTGAGCTGATAAGCAGTTTTGAACCAAACGATAGACAGAAAATGGGAGTGAGTTTCCAATAGCAGTTCTCGCCTTTACATCAAGATTCAACATCCTCTTCTCTTCCTTGTTGAATCCAGGAACAGGTTTCCCTTTCAGCTTGCTACCAGATGCACCATCACTAGATGATTGATGCATAGCAGCAATAGGACCTTTATTGACGACATCGAGCATATCAAGGTCCATGAGCTCGAGAGCTTCCATGGCCTTTGATTTCCATGCAAAGAAGTTATGTTTATCAAACGAAGGAATCTTGTAGCAAACAGTTGATTTTGGAGTAAAAGAGGTTGACATGATTACTTGAGTGTATCAAAAACCTGCTCTGATACTAATTAAAAGTTTGTATCGATCAGATACACTTCAAGTATTAAGAACAACCGTAAAACTAATCTAAGCAAAACAATAAACAGAAAGTAAATAACACAGAAGTTCTCCAAATTGTTCTTTCACAAAGAAAGAGTTTTATCTTCACCAAGAAGACGGGTTTGTCACAAAGAAGTTTGACACAAAGCCACGATCACAACATTAGGGGTTGCCCTAATGTTGTATATATACTAATCTATACATGTATATCCCATGATTAAGTGGATTGTGTCTAATCTATACTAAGAACCGATCTTATCACAAAGATACTGGATCTGTGATCTATTCTATACTTATCTATATCATTACCTAATATACAAAATATTACAATTGGATAATTGTACTATAAGCTAACGTTGATAAGCTTGATACACTGGCGTTGTAGATGTAGTAGACGCTGACACTGATCTATCAGCGTGTCGTGTGTTTGACTCTTCAGATCATTAGGTGTGACCTTACAGTTTTTGTTCAAATAAATTTCTTAATTTTTTTTGACATTTTATTCGAGTACATTTATTAATATTCTTTTTTTGTTTTGTTCGAATAATTTTTTTAACGTTTTGTTTGAATACAGTTTTTTTACTTTTTGTTTTTTATAGGGAAATTGAGTAATCTAACCATTTTTTATTGTATTTTATAAAAAAATAACCACTTAGTCAACAAGGTATACATTCTGGGCCGTATTATAAATGTGTCAAATCTGACTTGATATTGTGGTTCTCCTGTCCATGAAATCTATTTCGTACTATGTTTTGGACTTCTCCGTTCCGTTCTAGGCTACTCCAACTTCGAAAAATGTCTTCTACCGGTGAAGAGCTCCAACATTTACGGATATGTGTCAATTTTTTGTATGATTATATGTTCAAAATAAAGTTAAAGTATTTTTTGTATAATTATATGTGATTATTTGTAAATAATTTGTTTTGCTTCAATTTCGGTGGTTAATTGTCATTAATTGGAATTAATCACATATAATTATAAAAAATCGAAGCAAAATGAATTATTTCCAATCCGTACTACTATAAAAAAATAATTCCAATTAATCAAAATTAACCTCCGAAACCGAATAAAAACGAATTATTTCCAATTAATCACATATAATCATACAAAAAAACACTTCAACTTTATTTTGAACATATAATCATACAAAAAATTAACATATACCCACAAATGTTGGAGCTTTTCATCGGTAGAAAACATTTTTCAAACTTAAAGTAGCCCGAAATGGAGGGTTTTTGACGGAGGACCACAATATGGGGTCAGATCTAACCCATTTAATAACTTGGTTTGAAATGTAAGAATTCTGGACTAAATGGTTATTTTTCAAAAAAAAACAATTAAAATTGGTTATTTTAAAAAAAAATACAATACAAAAATGGTTAAATTACTCAATTCCCCTATAAAAAAACAAAACACAAAACGTAAAAAAAATATTAAAAATGTTAAAAATGTATTCAAACAAAACATCAAAAAAAATTATTCAAACAAAACATAAAATAACATTAATACATGTATTCGAATAAAGCGTCAAAAAATTTAAGAAATTATTTGAACAAAAAATAAAAAAAATATAAGAAAAAAAATAAAAAAAAAATTAAACATTATATTCGCAAAAAACGTAAAATAAATTAATTCATAAAAAATATAAATAAATAAAATATAAAGATTATAAATAATAGATAAAATTATATAAATGGTTCCTATGGCTTGAACAAATTACATAAACAGTCCCTATGACAGGAAGGGTAAATGTGTCATTTCACAAAGGTATTAACTGGAAAATTTAATACCGTTAGCCAAAAGGACCGTCTTTACAACATTTGGAAACCACAAGGACCATCTATACAAAGGATTCGTCATAAGGACTAAAGTTGATCTATTCTGTCAACCACAAGGACCATTTATGTTATTTTGTCAAAAACAAAAGTAATATATAACAAAAATGATGACGATTGTCGTGTGAGATCAATGTGTCCGTACAACCCCTCGTCACTTCCCAATATGAGAAGATTGAAGATGTGGAAACCGGAAAGGTTGGAGGGGATTCCACCTTTTTCTCTAAAATGAGCTACATTTTGACATTTTGACATTGAACTTCTTTTTTATTTTTTAAATCATAATTTTTTTTTGTAAATTTCACCCATTTAAACTTTTGCTTAAGTAGTTTTACGAGAAAAATATTCTAATATGTGAAATTGGTTTATAATAAAACCTTAAAAAGTATTTAATTGCACAGCCACTTTTTTATGACAACATTTTTAATGATTTAAAAAAATTTATTGTAATATTTTAAAATAATAATTTCACATAAATTAATTAATTGCATGAGAAAAACGGCATATAATAATTTCGCCTAACTTAAATAATTGAATAGAAAAACATAACATGTGATTACTTTTAGTTTCTATATCTTTTCCATACACGTCAATATTTCTCATTCAACGTGTAAATATATAGTTGAAGAACCCTACATCATACATGGACCTTCAACGTATGCATGGTGGTCGTACAATATGACATAATAATGTTTCTATGAATATCACCAATTACAATATATAAAGCTACATTTACGTACAATAATTATTCTAAAGTTTTTACTATAGAAGCGTATAGAGTTATCGATGTATAGTTCTTAATTCTGTCTTGATATATAGATCTCAAAAGTCAAAGCTTGTTTCTGATGTAGTTGACAAGATTTGAAATTTCCATGTGCGTATTCCTTCCAAGTGAAATCACCTTGTCGATAGAAGTGTATGCTAGTATGGCTATAATGAGTAAACATGTAGCTAAATATCCAATCCACATGAGATTTTGAGGAAGGAGCAAGACAAACACAAGGGATAGAATGGCAAGGATTATTGAGAAGAAAGCAAGACTTACTAAGATCATATGAGGAAGGGAAGGGGATGATAACCGAGTAGTCGTGTTGGAATTTTTGTTGTTTATATGATACAAAATCCAATAAGTCGGTGCAAATATAATTATTGCAGCCATTGATATGCTCATAAAGCAAGTATGAGTTTCAAACACAGATTCTTTTTTGGATTGATACTTCAATTGAAGGAGTTCGATCAATGAAGCATATACCCCAAGAAGTATCCCAACATGCACGTGATGCAACATGCTCGAACAAGTACGAAACCTGCATGACATAATTAATAAACATGAGATGTAACAGTCACTTCATATACAAAAAATACAGAGTACAGACAGAAGCTATATATAACACTAACTGACAAGCAAGATCTCTATCAAATATAGTTAGTATAGCGACTTTTTCGTGCATGTTGTCTTTTTCAACACCATAACAATAACAAATAAATAAACATTAAGTTAATGCAACGCACCATGATGGAGGTTGAGATGCGGTTTCAGGCAGTTCTGTAAGTGGGATGGAAATGGCAAGCTCTTCGGATATTGACATATTATCAACTTTAGTAGCGTTTGACGTACGTGTTGATGAAATTGAAAGCCACTTCACTTGGTTGAAAACTTCATGGATTGTTCGATCTTTCGGTTCCTCCACAAATCACCTTTTATATCCATATAACTTCCAAAAAAGTGGATGAATATATTTACTCATTGGTTAATTTCTCTATTGAATTATAGTTGACTAGTTGTATTCCATGAATACACAGGTAAAGTTGATGAATATATACCTATATATAGTGAGTGCACTAAGACTAGGTTTATCATGGTTTTTGCCAACGAATCATATAGTAAAAAGTAAAAAATATAAAAAGTTAAAGATATGCTCCAACCAAGTCGAATGCTAAAAGAATATCACGACCACAACTTCACCGCATGGCACAAAAGGAGTGGTCCTTCATATTGTTATTCTTTGATTCTATTATTAATTTTAATAAATTTTGGATTAAATATAAAACAATTTCTATTAAACTATTTACATTGCTACAAAAAAGAGAATTGTCGATGGCCAAAACCGTCGGTAATCAGTCGCTAATAGGCTTTACCGACGGAATTGCAATTGACCCATATGCGTCGGTAATTGTTTGCAACGAATTTCCGATGGCTACGACAAATTTTAACGACGAATCTTTTTGTCGGTAATTAGTAACCAATCACCGATAAAAATATATATTTTTTTGTAACGGATTACTGACGGAATGTTTTTGCAACAAATTACCGACATAATCTAGGAATAACTCACTAACAAAATACCGAGAAATTTTCTGTGACAGATTTTGGCATTATAAAAAGATTATAAATTCATGAAAAAGTTATAAATAATTACATACTCAACAAAGAAAAATCTTAAAACATACATCAAATCTTTATTTTAAAACCAACAATTTGCTTGAAAGCAATCAATCATAATATTTGTTGAGATGTTCTTAATAAAAGTTAACTAGACTAAATACAATTTGAATCCAACTATTTGCAATGAACGTGAACAACAAATTACACCTGATTTATCTTTATATTCTAGATTTCTTAAACAAAAATCAAGATTTTTTCACACATCATCACCTCATATTTGATGGAGCACCTGCAGTAGTTGCATCCACAACCATCTTTCTTCTTTCATTGATATTCAATCTTGGTGACCTTGGTTTTCTCACTCATATTGATGACCAATCCACAATATACACACAACAAAAAGTTTAATATTTAAAAAAAACAAAGGAAAAAAAAGGCTAAAATTAGACATTTTGGATCTAGTAAAAATATATTGTAAAATAGTCAAGTATAATGCTATAACTATTTTTAACAATATTACCTTCGGGTTAAGAAAAGTTTGTTGAAATTAGGCACTGGTCTTGCATGAGGTACCAAAGCCCTTCTTAGTTGTTTTAAAGTCTTTCCTTCCTCCATCTACACTTTAGACACAAATAATATAAATATTGCTTGATAATTATAAATAATAATGCAACTTTTATGTATAGATCAAGTGTTTTATTACTATATACAATATTTGCATATTCTACCTCATATATTTATCTTTTGTACATCAAGTGTTCTATTATTCTATATGGATTTTCTTAGGAACTAGAATTGGATCCATACAAGTCAAAAAAGTCAACATTTTTTGAAGCAAAGTTAATTGTATTGGAAGCTGATTACATGTATTGTAGTATTGTCTAGTTATAAACTAAGGCTTGTAAAGGATGCTTAGTTTAAAATAAGTTGATTAAGTGAATAGTCTAATTCGGGGTAATGTGTGAGATTAAGCGGAGTGTAATAGTCCTCCTATTTCCAGACAACCATAAATTGTGTGTCTGTATCGGATAACCAGTAGGTATGTTTGGGTCATCTACCAGAGTAAGATGACAACACTTGATTATTCTAGACGATCTTGTGAATTACGTTTCGAGTGTGGACTTATAACCCCCATACGTAGATGAAATGGGATACCATATTCATCAAATACTCTAACATTTTGGATGCCTTTAAATAACTTACACCAGCCAAGGAATCCCCTAGCTGTGTAGTCAAACCATTGTTCAAACGATTCGTTAGGTAAGGTGATTCTTACAGATGATCTTTGAATTAGGATTTGTGAAAATCGATTGGGTTGGGTATGTATAGCCAGATTGTCTTATATATATCTACATTCGATTATTTATCTATATTATCTGGTAACGTTTGTCTTACAGGATTAATATATATGATTATTTATCATTATAAATATTATAGGCTTGAAAACTCTATGTGTCTCACCCAGTTTCCAAACCTGGCCCACTCAGATTTATATGCGTCACAAGTAGTGGCACTATGCCTGTTGGAAATTGAATATGATGTCGAGTGATTAAAGACACAAACCTGTAATAGTATTGAAGACATTTATGTCTTTACATTGTAACCTATGTTGGGTATTATTTATGACATCCTTAGTGTCTTGGTATTTTGAAACAATTTATGTTATCTCAAAATGTTTTATTAAACTGAGATTTTCCTCAACAAAGACAACATGGTATTTTAAAGCATAAAGAAAAAGTTGTATTTGGTTCTGAAAAATATGGGATGTCACAGATATAAAAGTCACTACAATCAAGTAATTAACTTTGAATAAGAACTACTTTGTCAACCGTATAGATTGAGTTACCTACTTGTTAGGGAAAACTAACTGTAACGTCCGGTTCCTATGTAAATTCCTTAAGTTTTTAAATATTTGATTGTCGCATGGAAGGCCATTACGTTGGGCGTAATTGATAGTTACATCGACCATAACTCATTAAACCTAGTCGTGAGTTCCTCTTGAGTATGTTGGTCATACCTAGAGTATATTGGATGTACTCGAGGTAGAGGCAAACCCTAAGTATACAGCCCGGAAATCGAATTTTAAAAATAACGTCCAAATCCGACTTCTTTAGAAGAAGTTATGAATTTTCCAAGATTTAGCATAACAGTATACAGCCCGGAAATCGAATTTTAGATCGATCGATTTTTAGCCAACACAATTTAAATGAGAATTGAAGATCTCGTTAATAGGAGTTCAACGATATAAAGACAGTCTAAAACGGACGTCGAATAACAAAATTATAAATTTTTAACGAACTTTAAATGTCTAAGCCTGTTAAAATCTAACTTTAAAAATGAAGTCAAAATTAGCTGACGGAGTCTAAACGAAAGTTGTAGATCACGTCACTACCTATGCGTGGATATAAAGAATGTCAAAAACGGACATGTGGCAAATTACAACGAGTGACATGTGGCACGATCTGAGCCACTACTTCTTCCCTACGGCTTTGCACCAGTTACTGACATGTGGCAAATTACACCAGCGTAATTCTTAGGTACGCCCACGTACTGCTGTTTTAGCCATTACGCCCCGCATAATTTTGAGTTTTCCCAACATACTGGGCATTGGGCAGCCTATAAATAGAGCTCATTTTCACTCATTTCTCCACACCTCTTCAACTCATTCTTTCTCAAACACCCCTAAACCCTATAAGCCTTTCCCTAGCACCTCATAGGTGTTAGAAGCGATTCCTGGAGCGCCAGAAGGCCCCGAGAAGAAGAAATTTCGACTCAGAAGTTCTGCCTGCGTAGAGCCCGGTTCCTCACTAAACCCCCCATGTAAGTGAGTTATGCTTACCATACTTTAAGTATAACTTATGTTTAAGTTCATTATCATTATCATTATCATTATCATGAACCTATAAACAAGATTTATTAGTGATTCCAAGTCGTTATACTGATTGATCTACTTACGAGGATGATGTCTAGGCTGTGATTTAGTGAGGTGTTTAAAATGGGATTTCCAAACAGTTTACTTCGTATACCAAACGGACCCTACCTCCGATATGATCCTACTTGGTTGTTCCTTACTTGATAGATCATGAAAGTAGACTTTGAGTTAATGATGCATGTAGACTAATAATTAGTCGCAATAAATATTAGACTAAGAATTAATAATAATGATACTAGGTTTCGTCAAAGGAAAAGACAATTGTTAGAAGCGAAGCGCTGCCCGAATTTGAGTCGTCACTTTAACAAGCGAGTGCATAGTTATTTTCATCTTACACATAGATATGAAGTATTTAATATAAATTACATGCTATATGTACATATTATCTGTGTTCTTGATATCTATGATGGATGAACATTTTATACATGTTTTACTTGATTTAAACTTTATATGTATTTTATACCTATAAATATGTTGGGTAAAGATGGGTAGGTGAAATAGATGATGAAAGATGAAATAAAATGATGAGAGGCCTCAATGTTAAAGTTGATCCAGTCATCTAGCGGAGTATAGATAACGACCACGGACTATTCTAGACAGTCCAGTGGAACGCTGGCAGGCTCGCAACCTGTAGGTGTTTTTGAACTACATGTTCACCAAGTGTACTCCATCCCCCTCATGGTTGCCTTACTGATACATATTGCTGAGGAATCCCATAAGCATTATTGTCAATCCCGAAGATAATCCTTAGGCTAGGCCCCTTAAATTAGATACTTTACAGACAGAAAGTGAGGATAACGGGAACGGGTAATCGGGTTGAATGATTTGATGAAAATAAAGAATTTAATTATTGTAGGTTGAAAACTCTATGTGCTCACCAGGCTCCCAAGCCTGACCCACTCAGTTTCTTGTATTATAATAGTGGCATAAGAGAACAGGTGTGATGATTGGATGAGAAATCTATGGATTATATGTTGTTAGAATATTATATGTTTGTAAGGCATGTACTATTTCTGTTTATGCTTATGCATTGTATTGACGATGACATCCTTGATGGGTTTTAGTATACTACAACATCCTATGGTGCACATACAACCCTAAAAGCTTTGGATCTATGTTTTCTCTAATTATACATGCAATATTGTTTCTAAAGCTTTAAGCCTACAACTAGCATACAAATGATATAAACAACATAAAATACTAGTTAGGAGTTTACCTCTTTATGTAGCTTGTAGAACTTGTTGTATTTGGCCTTTAAGAACTTAGCACCA